TTGTTTTCATGGTTTACTGGTTTCATAAATCTATGGTCAGAAAAATCCATGGTTAAATTTATGTCCATGGCTCATGGACAGCCCCATGGTTTTTTTACCAAGGGGGGGGGGAACGCTGAAGCTCAAAGTATGTAATTAGACATAACATTAAAATCCAATAAATTGATAATTACAAGAATTGACTATTGTTAAATAACTGTTAATAAAAGACTAGCAGAGGTGTGGAAACCTACCTTGGATGTCCCTCATTATCTGGTATTTCTTGAGTGCTGGCTTTTGCCCGTTCCAGCGCCTTTGCCCAGCATTTGTTGAGCGCATGAGCCGTCTTTTAGAAGAACCAGTCCGAACAAGGTACATGGTCATGGCAGTGCCTGTACGAGTTGCCTTGACCTGGATCAAGGCAGTCTTTGACATGGTGAGGCACCTGCCAATTTTAACCTGAAAGAAACAAATTAATTATCATTAGACGTAATAGAAATCAATGATACTTGTTAACAGTGAGAGTTGGAGTTCCGCCATTAAAAGCATAAGAGAAAATCACATTTGGCTGGTCAGGGTCGTGCCTGGGGCCAGCTGCATGTTGACTAGCACTCCTCGGGAGCTGGGCCATAGCCCCTATAATTGACTGCATGATCTCTGTCAATACAAGCTTATACACACCAAATTTGTGCTTGGGGGTTCTGGTTGAGTGCTAGGGGAGGAACAGGAGGCTGCTGCTGCCTAGCACCTTGATTATTCAAAGCTGCTGCTTGCTCCTGCTGCTCCTTGGCTCTGGCAGCATTCACCTCTCCAATTCTCCTTTGCAAGAAGTACAGGCTACCTACAGGCAATGGTAAAATGCGGCAGGTGAAAATTTAGAATTATGTTTTCTGTTGGGCGCTGCTGTCACTATATTAGATTGAGCGAGCGGCTATGCCAGAAGGGCAAAATGCTAGAGGAATTACCCATTGGTCAGTGAACCCAGTAAACATAAACACCCACTGAGTCATTTGACTGGTCTTTGTCGTCCAAGTGAGTGACTTTGGAGCAGAAACTCATTTCTACGTAAAAATCGGTGAAATAACTCAAGTTGAGTCGCAAGTGTTTACTGGGAAAGCATGTGGTGCGTAAACGAGCATTTTTACCTGACACCCCGAGAACCAGGGCGTCATGGCAGTGCTAGCCCATTCTTGCTTGGCTTGGGAGGCACACGCCACTCCACCACGTAGCCCTGGGGGTCGCAGGAACCCACTTGGTCAAAATCACGAATCCACTCAACGCGGACATTTGGCTGAGCTGATATGTTTAGGATTGATGTATATAGGTGAATGTTGAATAATACTGGATGGATGCAGGAAGAACGACACCAATTATGCTAACGTATCACCTCAAGGGTTTATTAACCAACTAAAGCACGCTCTTTGGGGGAATAGACACAGAAGAATGGCGGGAGGCCAACATGGCCGACAGGAGCGCCCATGGCGGTGGATGTGGGAACACAACTTGGCCGTTAGATTCAGGGGTATAAGGAGGGGGGTGAAGAATTTGGATGTTAAACTTTGTACAGAAGGCAGCATAATCATCGGAATCAAAGGGTTGACCATTGTCACTCATGAGACTTTTGGGCAAACCATATATAGCAATTACAGACATGAGCACTTCAATTACTTCAGAAGCTGTAGTACGTGGCATATGAGCATTATGCAACCATTTACTGTAAGCATCAACAATAATGAAATAAGACAGAGAATGTTTTTTTTTATAAAAATCAATATGTACCCGTTCAAAGAGGAACTGAGCTTGGGGCCAGGGAACATAGGCCTTATTGGGTTTGAAATTAACTAATGCACAGATTGAGCATTTAGAAACCATATCTAAGATGTCATCATTCATAGGGGGCCACCAGCAGATTACTCTAGCAAGTAGCTTGGAACGTACAATTCCTGGATGACCTTCATGGATTGTTTTAAGAACATCAGCTCTAAGACTAGATGGGATAATGACACGGGCTGAGAACAGTAGACACTTGTTCACAATGGTAATTTGGTCACGTAACTTAAAATAAGCATTTGTCATGGGTTTATCTCTAAGTTCGTCCTTTGGTGGCCAGCCAAGATGGACATACCTAAATACCTGATTAAGGATAGAATCATTAGATGTTTCTAAGGCAATTTTATCTGCAGTAGTAGGAAAAGCAGACAGTGATTTTACCACAATTGCATTGACATTAAATACTTGAACAACAGTTGGGGAGGGCAATCTGGACAGCGCGTCCGCCACAGCCAGATGCTCTGCCTTCCTGTGGAGTAATTGGTAATTATAGGCTTGCAACAGGGCTGCCCAATGTTGTAAGCGATGACCTGTCCTAACAGGTAAAGACTTTGATGAAAAATTCTTTGAATGGCATCATCGTCAGTTACAATCTTAAATTCTCTATCATAAATAAATCTATGAAATTTGGTAACAGCATGAATTAAAGCTAATCCCTCACGGTCGATCTGAGCATAATTTTGCTGTGCTATGTACAATGTACATGAAACCATCATAACAGGTCTATCAACTGGTTTGCCGTTGATTTTAATGGCGTGGCAGAGAACAGAACCAACACCATATGGACTTGCATCACAATAGGCAAATTGGGATTGAAGTGAATTAACACTTTATCAGAAGTAATAAGAGATTTACATAGAGTGACGGATTTTTGACATTGATCAGCCCAGACAAAATCTGCACTATTTTTAAAAGATCATACATAGGTTTTGCTAGTGTAGCAAATTGAGGAATGAATGAGGAATAAAAATTAAGTAAACCCTAGAAGGATCTTAGACGTTAGATGGAGTGGGAGCAGAAACTAGGGATTTGGTTAGGGTTGGAGTCGGTTGACGACCATGTTTGGAATTGATAAATCCTAGAAATTCCAGCTTCTCCACAAACCATTCACATTTGGCTAGGTTAGGTCTTACATTATATTTTTCCAGTCTGGATAAAACAAGATGGGTATTTTGGATCACTTAGGCAGTAGAACTACCATGAATTAAGATATTATCCAGGTACACTTAAACATTTGGAATATTAACTACTATCTCCTCCATGACTGATTTGAAAATAGCCGCAGCAGAAGCAATTCCGAAGGGCAATCTAAGAAATATTTGTACAAACCTTTAGTAGTGGTCATACAACAACACACAACTCTGATGATTCAGGACACAAAGGTAACTGCATATAAGCATCCTTTAAATCTAAAGAGACAAATAGTGAACTATTACTAATGTCAGAAAACATTTCCTCAGGGGAAGGTATGGGGTAGTGGTCCATTTTAATTGTGGATTGAGTGATTTTATAAAATCTATAACTAGCCTATATTGGCCGTTTTTCTTAAGTACAGGGAATGCAGGAGACGCCCATTCCGCATGGCGAACATGGATGGCTTTCTTTTGAGCAACCATTTGATCCAAGATGGTATTGACAGGATCGACTAGTCCAAAGGGGACTTTACATGCTCGATGCTTTACTGGAATGGCGTTTTCCTGATCGATTAGCGAAGCCTTTTACTCCAGTGATGATCAAAAAGTTTCGCGTCTGTCTGTCTGTATGTACGCACGATAACTCGAAAACGGTTTAAGAGAGAGCACACAGCTGGACAGTCGGGGCGACGACGTCGTCCTGGGGTGGTGTTGAACAGGACCGTGAACGGGACTGGCAGCCGTTGTTTGAACGAACCATAGCGAAACGAAGGAACTACTAAGATTATCACACAAACACGACACGAAAATCCCCACCACAGTCCAAATCACACAAAAACCAGAAAAGAGTATCGCAGTAAATTTCAGAGGACACAGCAGAGCACGACCGCGCGCAACTGGTAACTCAGGCAATGTTGTCGGGTGGCCGGGAAGTCATTTTCGAGGGGACTTAAACCCATCTTAGCAGTGTGCGGAGCATTATAGTATTATGGCCGATTATGGCACTTATTGAGGCATATTATGACATATTATGTGGTATTATAAAGTATTATGGGGTATCCTATGAGGGTATTGTGAGGTATTATGTCGAATATTATAGGGGAATATGAAGCATGCTAAGGTAGATGTACGCCAGACCACGTCTCGCGTAACAGGCTTCGCGATATCTCACGAAACACTGGTACGCTGCGACGCGCCTGGCATACATCTACCTTGACCTGCGGCGCTGACACCCGAGTCAGGTAGTGCAAAAATGTGCACAAAGATACGGGCCTCCGGCCCGTCAACGCCCGTCACTTCGACTAATCATGCAGGGTTGTACATTTTTTTGCTCATCTTCGAACTCAATCTGTCTTTTTACCTAGCTATATGTACGCCAGACCACGTCTCGCGTAACAGGCTTCGCGATATCTCACAAAACACTGTTACGCTGCGACGCGCCTGGCGCACATATAGCTAGGCCTGCGGCGCTGACACCCGAGACGAGCAAATGGGA